CCTGTCATACCTGGTCCCAACATTACACAGTATAACGATACATTGCATCACACTCTGTAATGTTTGTTCACCCAGATGATGACGAGTGTTTCCTGAACCCATGTGACGTCAATGAAGAATGTACAAACACTCCCGGATCCTACAGCTGTGACTGTATAGATGGATATACTCGGGACATAAATGGAGTGTGCCAAGGTATAGTATGGACACAGAAAACATTCAAATCTAATTCGCGGAGGAGAGATATCTATGCGTTCATTTTGTTCCCATCTTTGATAAATTTGATGAATCGCATTAAATTTGTTTAATTTCGTTACGAACAAAAAGTTTTTTCCTTTCAAATGCATTATAACGTGACCCATTGCGCTGATGAAATTAACGTGACTCTGTGTCTTGTTAACAGACGACAACGAATGCGACGATCCGGCGTCCTGTGCCGCGCATTCTACGTGCGTAAACCTGCCAGGTAGCTATCGTTGCGAGTGTGCAGACGGTTACGTCGGAGATGGGGAAACGTGTGACGGTAAGGATGATTTAGTTTCTCTGGATATATTCTATGCGACATTGGCAGTTCGCCTTGAAATGCGATTTGGATGAGATTTTTGATTTGGAAGCAAAATTACAAAAATCTGTGTATGCGAATTAATTGCACGTAACAACCAATCACTGCACGTTATTTGAATAAATCCTATTAACGTTGCATGCCGGGTATACTTTGTACCATTAGCAATCGTTTTCATGCCAATTCAATAACGTAATATTAGAAAATGATTTGTTTTAATGCAACACATGAACATTAATAAGGAAGTGTTCAATCTGGACCAAACTCATGAATACTGTAAAATACTTTATTTTAGCTGGAATTAATTTTCACTAAAAAGACATTTTAAGTGTTTTGTATGGAATAATTTTCACTGATTTTTGACGAGTTGAATGTAAAATATAGGAAAAAAGGTATATTCGCTGTGTTTTATTTTCAATGCATCACCCAAAATTAATTCCAATCAAAAATAACGTATTTTACAGTAATTTATTTCATTCATTAATTCGTTCATTTATCTATCAAAAGACATTAACGAATGTGACCTCAACGAATACACGTGCGACGTACATGCTGACTGTGTTAACACTGTCGGAAGCTACGACTGCCTTTGCAGGGAAGGCTTCACTCAAAATGGCGATACATGTGAAGGTACGTGGCGTGATTTGTTTTACTCATTTATGTATCTTTTTGTTTGCAATTTCTTGGTCTGTGTTAAACCTTTGATGATTTTCCAAGTGGTTCAGGCGTGGGTCAACATTTAAAATGTGAACAAAATAGTTGTTACAAATGTAAATTATGTTTTACAAAAATGGTGCTCAACATTATTGAGACTTTGATATGAAACAAGCCTGCCATACTGAAATCTAACAATCTTCCATACTTGGAATCAGCATTGCCTGAATAGAAACACAATTTCTGTGCAATACCACGTAATTATAGCATGTTATAGCGCATATACATACGGTGCCATGTGTGAACCCACTGTGTTTATTCCATACTCAGATATCAACGAATGTACCGAGGCTACGCATGAATGTGACGTCCACGCTGTGTGTATTAACAACATCGGTAGCTACCAATGTTTATGTCCAGATGGACTAACTGGCAACGGCCATGAATGTCAAAGTAAGTCACGTTAACTACGTTTTCGACATTGTGAAACGCTTTTGTTTTTTTAGGAGAAAAAACCCTGCAAAAATGAATTTGACAAGATAACTTTGAGATTTATATTAGGAATAATTTATAACGAAATGTATTCCCTATGCACCCATCAATAATTTTCATAATTACCGATTACACAAGAATATTACAGAAAAAAACGATAATTTGCTATATTTTCTATATTTTTACTTTTTATTTAGTCTTGAATTGACTGAAAGAATCTGAATGAAATTACAAACTATGTAGTGTGTTCAATAACTCATATATGAACAATAACTTTAATAAATATGATTTTATACTTGGTAAAACTACTGTATTTTCCTGCATGAACGGAAAACGGAAACTCTTTATCGCAGTGTTCGTTGTATTTTTCAAAACATGTTTCGTCTCGTTGTTTATTATTATTATTATTATTAGTAGTAGTAGTAGTATTGGCCTACAATTCAAATCTGATTTAGTCTCTTCAACACAAGAAAAAACGTGACATGCTCAATATTGACGTACAAAACCGACGTATCATGGAGGTGATTCAGTGTATCCATACAAACCGTATTTTTGGTTTTCTTTTGCCTTAAAGATATCCGAGTTAAATTACAGAAATCAAGCCAGTGTTAATTACCTCTTTATATGTGAAACCTATTCATTATACAACTTGTAAACGAGTTTAATGGATAATGTCTATCGTTTTATCCGTCAACATATTATAATGTTTTCTTATTGTTTATACAATTTAATACTGTAATCACTAATTTAGCATTTCAAGCATATTCAGTGGGTTTTAAATTCACGGTTCTATAATTTAGATAATGTGTGCTACTGTAAAATGAGTAATTTTCACTGGGTTTAAATTTCACTGATTTACCATTTCAGGCATATTCAGTGGGTTTTAAATTCACGGTTCTATAATTTAGATAATGTGTGCTATGCTAAATTTTACATATTCACTGGGTTTTAATTTAGCGCATTTTCCAGTCAGCGAAATAAGCAAAATTGAAACCCAGTGAATAATTAATCTTTTTACAGTACTATTGAAAGCAATACCTTCGGCTTAGGGCAAGAGCAATATTTTTGTTTTCTATATGAGAACAGATTTTGAAAAACATGCTGAAAACTATTTCCTAAGTCTTATTGTTTATGTGATTCTTTCGCTTTGGCTTTTTGTAAACTTGTATACCGCTAAGCGTTGATCATCAGAATCAAAAACATGTATACTATAAACTAGCGCCCTCTAGGGACGGAGCGCTTCTATGACGTAATTTAGTGACACGAATGTATTACAAAGCGTCGGTAAAATGTTCTTCCTTAGTCGATTTTTGAGAGATTTTATTATATTTTTAGTCGAAGAACGACAAATAAGCACGGTTGTAGATTTGAGCGATATCGCCACTAATCATATACGTCATTCTGGCGCAACTAAAGGGACTTGTCGCAGAGGGCGTAACTTACAGAAATGGAATGATGATTCTATTTATAATTATGTCTGTAATACTTATTTCATGTTACAAACACAGGCATAAATGAGTGTGAATGTGGGCTCAGCAGCTGCCACTCGGATGCCGTGTGCCTTGACCAGCCATATGGCTTCAAGTGTACGTGTGCTCAAGGCTTTTATGGTAACTGTGACAACTGTCAAGGTAAGGTTATGGAATTTGACACAAATACACTGTATATAGTATAGTACACTGGGTAATACACAATACACTGCACGACGCGACGCACCAGAACGGCGTTTCGAGCGTTCGAATTGTCCACTTATAATGAGTAAACTACGTCAGTAAAATATTTTATTCATTTTCAGAGTATAACGAATGTGAGTATGGCCAACATAACTGTATTTCCTCACGTTCTACTTGCGTGGATACGTATGGATCGTTCCGCTGTGAATGCAATGAGGGTCTTACCGGCGACGGTTACCGCTGCTATGGTAAGTGTTTCAATGACAATAAGTCAAACATGTTGTATCCGATCATCTTCAACAAAGTTCATATGTGGCGCGATTACCATCTTGATTATCGTGAAATGTTGGAAACTTTTCATTCAATAAAATGCAGAAGAAGAAATTTGCGCTGCTGATCATAAAAAACAGACCACACTCTCCAAAATTTGTTGCTCATTTAATTTTGTTTTTATTATACTGTTATATCATCTTTCCATATATACACTGACATATACAGTGAATGACACAATGCAGGACTTTCACTGTATTTTCTCGCTAAAATGTTGTTTAGATATATTACTATACTATTTTGAAAATGTTATTACATATATTCCACAAGATACATTGATTATAGTACATGTAATAATAAAGGTAAACATATTACACAGTGATTAATATTCATCAATCATGACTCATTTAATTGATATACTCTCTGGTCTGGTCTGGTAATGTTGTGATAAGCACAACATCCAACATAATTTGTATCAATCGTGAATACACTAGTTATTTTATATCTAAATATCAGACGGGCACGGTTTTGATAGTTACGCTATGTTTAAATTTGCAATCTGCGGCGACGAATGTAGGTTTCCACTGATATCTCGCTCATAGCGACGAGACTTGCATTTGCCTGTCAAATAGTGCTCTATTACCGTCATTGCATCTAGCTATAGTATTTGGACCATTTGACGCGGGATAGAATAGAACACTTATTTTAGGCGCGAAATATGCGCTCTCGCTGTGAACGAGATCTCGGCGGTCATTTTAATCATCAATCTTTTTTTTTTTTACAGATATAAATGAATGTGCACATGGTCTGCACGATTGCCACATCAACGCAATTTGTAAGAATAGATTCCAAGGCTACGCATGCGAGTGTGCACTGGGATACGAAGGGAATGGTACAATGTGTGAAGGTATGTGCCGTTATATTTCATATGAGACATTGTGTTCTCGAAATATGGTGATTTCATTTCTTGTAGGCCGACGTACTGTGACGTCATAGATTTACATTTTTGGCAACCAGCGTGCGAATGTGTGACCAACACAGACCCACGATATGCTGCGATAAAAATGCCTTAAACTTATTTTATTAACAGGAACACATACACTGTAGTGATGAGGGAAACTAGCACGTGACACAAGACGACTTATGAATTTATGAATTTTACATTAAAGGCAGTGTGAACGTTTATTCTCGTTTCACTATTTTCGTTGGACCAACAAATTAATTAACATTTCGGGAGGTGATTAGCAGTGAACTTTTGCTTATACCAGTTCGGAGCACGTATGTAGTGCGCGAGATATATGGGTCTCATGTAAACAAAGATGGCGACTTTGACTATTGCGCAGATCAACGAGTACAAACTGAGACAATTGGGTATTTTGTAGGTGATTGGATGGTATCGAGTGACCGGCGGTAACAGTGCAAGTCGCG